TGGCGCGTGAGTGGCCCCGCCCCCGGGTGCCCGGGAGCCCATAAAGGTTGGGGACCACTGGTGTAGATGCTCTCTTTCTAAAGAAGTTTTTCTGGAAGATCTCTTCTGGAAAAGCTTCTTCCAAAAGAAGCCTGCAGTCTAGAATAGCCAGTGAAAGGTTTGGATATTTCTACAAGACACACAAATACCACATTTTTCTTTCCAAGTCAGAAAACACATATGTCTCCAAGAGAGTTCAGATACATGCAGTATTGAGTAGGAAGAGTGATGAGTCCATGGCCATGCTGCTTGAGTAGGTTTATTTCAGATCAGGCACCCCGGTGTACAATTAGTCCAGGAAACAACACTGCTGTATCACTTTGCATTTCTGATGACAAGTGCTGTGACACTTTGCTTGCAATATGCATCAGTGTCCCAATACGAGTGATAGGACACAATGGCTGTGTCTAGACTGGCAAGTTTTTCCGGAAAATCAGCAGCTTTTCCAGAAAAACTTGCCAGCTATCTACACTGGCCACTTGGATTTCTGGAAAAGCACTGACGATCTCATATAAAATCATCAGTGCTTTTCCGGAAAAACTATGCTGCTCCCGTTCGGGCAAAAGTCTGTTTCCGAAAGACTTTTGCCCAAAAGGGCCAGTGTAGACAGCATAGTACTGTTTTCCGCAAAAAAGCCCCGATCGCGAAAATGGCGATCGGGGCTTTTTTGTGGAAAACCGCGTCTAGATTGGCCACAGACATTTTTCCGCAAAAAGTGCTTTTGCGGAGAAGCATCCTGCCAATCTAGACGTGCTTTTCTGAAAATGCTTTTAACGGAAAACTTTTCCGTTAAAAGCATTTTTGGAAATTCATGCCAGTGTAGATGTAGCCAACATGTAAATGATTGTTTTACACTGTATTGAATACACATTCATGATCCAGCAACTGGAAAGCAGACAGACAATACATCTGCAACATTTCTGAATAAGATCAACAAATACTGGGCCTACCTGAGCAAAGTATGGGTACGTCTAGATTGACGGGTTTTTCCACGTCCACGGAACAAGTTTGCTCTTCCACTTTTTTTTGCAGAAGAGCAAACGTGTTCTTTCAGGGAGCCCTGTATACTTCATTCTATGAGGAATAAGGGCTCCACTGAAAGAGGAGGCTTTTCCACCATTTGGCCCCATCTATACAGGGCCAAATGGTGGAAAAGCCTTTTCCGGAAAAGCAATTGGAAAAAGCTACGCAAATTGAAGGGTGCAATTTGCGTAGCTTCTTCTGATAAAAGAGTGTAGTCTAGACCTAGCCTATGTGAGAAACAATAGCTAACATGTATGGAAGTTTCCGGAGGTATGTGCACCTGTCCTGTAGGAATTAAATAAAGTTAAAACCAGCAAATTCCTTTTGTGACCTAAGCACCTCATTCTACCACTGGCATCAAAATACAAACTGCCTTGTGCTGTAACCAATGGGAATTCTTAGATAGCAATTACCAGTTTACTTTTTACGCACCTAAATCAAGCTGCTGATGTCTTCCAGGAATCTGTTCAATTTTCCAGAAGCAACGTTCACCTAATTGGGTACAGCCTAGGAGCTCATGTTTCAGGGTTTGCTGGCAGTTATATTAGTGGCACAAACAAGATTGGAAGAATTACAGGTAAAAAAAATATTTATAATTGTAATAGAACAGCCAGCTGGCTTCATTGCTCAAGTGTTTTGATACTTGACAGCCCTTATGTTACAGCTTACATCAGAACTATATTTTTTTTCAAAAGAGCAATCTTATCTTCACTGATTGTGTGAGTACATAACAGCGATATTTACACTGGATTTTCAATGGTGTTCTTGTAATTCATTTATTTCAGGAGTCATATGATCTAATGTGTTAAATACATTCATGATGTGTAGTAGACTCCTTTTCTAATATTTCAAATTTCAACATAAACACTGAGGTCCTGATTCTGACAATACTAGACGTGTAAAGCAACTTTATACACTTGAATAATCCCAGTTAATTCAATTGAACTATGCAAGTGTGAAAATTGACTATATGGCTACATCTAGACTGTATTGCTTTACCAGGATACCGGAGGAAGGAACACGTCCGCTTTTCCGAAAAAAAACTTCAAAAAAGCAGACACGCTCTTTTGCCATCTCTGTAAACCTTGTTCTATTAGCCAATTAGCCCATCATAAGACGGGATTTTCAGGTCTCTCCTCCACGTTGGTCTTCTCTCCTGAGCCTCCGGTCTCTCGCTCCATCTCTCTCTCTCTCCTCCTCCTACTGCCTCTTCCCGTCTCTCTCTCAGCTCTCCTCCACGTCCTGCCTCTCTCTCTGTCTCTTCTTCTCCCCCTCCTGCCTCTCACTCGGGGGACAGCGCACTCCCCGTGCTGCATGGGGAGAGCGGAGCCCAAACGGCCGCTTGTGCCACTTGCTCCCACGCGGCAGCCCGACTAAGCGGCGCAGAAGTCAGCCGAGCATTTGGTGTAAGTCTGCCCTGAAACCTCTCACCCCCCCCACACTCCTTCAAGGTGGGTTGCAATACAATAGTACCTGCAAGAAATTTAAGTTACTTAATGTAATATAGTTCTGAACAGAGGTAAGCCAGGAACCCATCATTTGGAACTGGACCCCAAAACAAATATGTTTACATCCAGTGTTTCATTCAGGCCCACCACACTGAGGGAGCAAAAAGGAAAGTTAATTGCCTCAAAGTCCATATGGGTTGCAGTTTACAGGACAGTTCTAAGGTGAAGCCTAGAGAAAAACTCGTCTGATTATTAGGTCTTATGAGTAAGGCCCTGTGTAAATAATGATTTAATGGAGGGCACGGAAATCATGAAAATGGCTCCAAACTGTGATCTCTTAAATGTTTGTTCTTGAAACATGTGAAATCCATTCAATCAGTCCTGAAAATTGCCTAACAGTTGCAAAATTCACTCCATCCTCAAAATGGATTAATTTCAGGTGTAAAATTAATTCCCTGCAAATTCTGTGAATTTAAATATTTTGACATTTATGCTGGTGGAAAATTTTCTTTAAAAAAATAAAAGGGGAGGGGATTTACACAGGATCCTACTTATGAGCCTTCTTATTATTTGCCTTCTCCAACCTGATCAAAACCAAAGTCCAAGCAATATCTAGGGTCCAAACATGCACCCTTCCTGGGGTGTTTGCCTGTTTAACAAAGGAATAGGAGATAAGATAAAGTTCAACTCATGCCTTTGCCCCAGCTGTGACTGCTCTCAGGATTCCTACCTCAGGCCAGCTCACTACACTATATATCAGGGTGGGCTAAAGGGCCTCCACAGGCTGGATGCAGCCTGCCAAGCAAGTGGACCCATCCCGCAGAGGCCCTGCTGCTCCCTCATCCCCAGGCCAATTAGGGCCCGGGAGCAGGGGAGCGTGCAAAGCCTCATCCCGCCCTGCCAGGAGTACGTGGTGCTTTGAAACACCGTGCACTGCTTACAGGGCATGGGGTGGGGGAAAGCAGAGGAGGCTTTGCACGCTCCCCCACCCCCAGACCAGTCAGGCTTCCTTTGCCCTGCCCTGCCCCACCCCAGGAGCTTGGGGGTGGCAGAGCATGCCAAGTCTCTTCCAAGGCATGGGCTCTTAGTGGGAGGGGGGGCAAAGGAGCTCCCCCCCAGACCAATCATGGTCTGGGGGTGGAGTAGCCCCGCCCCTTCCCATTTAGGTCCTGCCCCTTCCGGGGTGGCTCGGGGCTACTTCAAAAATTTTTGAAGTGGCCCCCCCAGGCAAAAATTATTGCCTACCCATGCTATATATTCTTTATTCCTGAAGAACCAGCTCCTACCGCCCTTCTACACAGGTGTCAAAATAAACCTCTGCCTTCAGTGAGCCAGCAGATCCCATTGGATATTGCTGGGAAAGGGTTAACACCTGCTCACAGGGTGGGGTGTCTCTGGCAGCCTTCTACAGGTCTGTACAGAGAATACCACAGTGAGCGTCCAAATGTATTTTCTCCGTTCACCACATGATTCTTTTTCCTTTGACAGAAGCTGTTATGAGTGGTGATATAAATGGAAGAGAAGCACATTTAAAGTCTGCCAAAAGCTCGATATTTAAAGGCAAAGTTCACCCTTCTGAAAATATTTCTCTTAGTTATAACAGCTGTACTTTTTCTTGGCTGGCCAACGCCTGTGCAAGGGCTCCCACAATAAAATATGCAATTGTTGTATTTTTAGGGCTGCGAAATAGCCCATTTTGGACTAGTGGTGCCTTGAATGCTGGTTCATTCTCCTAATGAACATTTTCTTGAAGTTATTCATTTTCTGCAGTGGAATGGTAATTAGAGCCTTGATCCTGCTACCACTGAAGTCTCTGGCAAAACTCCCATTGACTTTAGTGGTGCAAAAGGAGGCCTTATCAGAAAAGCCATGCAGATTTCACTTGCAACAAAGAAGCAGAATTTAGCAATTAAGCGTCTATTCAGGTTTTGGTTGGAAAAGAGGCTAATCTCAAAAAGTTTATGCTCTTATGGAAAACTATATTCAGTTTGGAGCATCTCTCACTGGTGTAGAAACTGGGCTGAATTTCTCCTGAGCACAGTCTCTTAGTATATCCAGTACTTCTGTGTTCTGAAATGGAAGAATTACAGTAAGGATCTGTCTTGCAGAATTACTGTACATCTTCCATTCTCAGCTCACATCAAAATACAGAGATGCACAAACATCAAAGGCAAGACTCTTCTCAACAAAGGTTCAAGTTTTGAGCAAAGGTTCAGAATGCATATTTTATCGTAATTAGTTTGACCATCCCTAGTAGAAACCCTCAATATACCCTTTGCTGTTTAAGGGTGAGCAAGAAAGAAAATGCTGTGTACAGTCCCATCTTAATGGACTCAGTTAAGGACCTTAGAGTTGGTCATATTTCCTTATTTCCCACCTCAACCTTTATCTTTTTATTCATGCCTGAAAATGTCCCAAATTAAACCACTCATTTGTGAGCTCACCTTCTCACTGACCAGACTAACAATTGTTCTCCCCTCAGACTTCATTATTCTCGTTCACTAATATCTTCCTTATTAGCAAAATGTTTTCAAAGAAAATTATATTAAGGAATTTGTCTGTTCTTGTGCTTTCGGATGTGGTACATCTCTCTTTAGAGAGATTTGAAATGAATTCCTTTGTGACTAAATATATAATCCCAGAGTATTTTGACAAGGACTATATAATTAGAATATCCCTAAAACATTAAAGTAAACATAAAACATGAAAGTTAACTGCTACATTTGACTTTGCTGACTAATGGTATTTTGGTCCTACTGTAATGTCATACCAACTATGAGTTGAAGGACTGTGAGATTATTAATATATGTAGAGCACCATGCCAAGTAAAAGTACAAGGAGATTTTTTTAAAACAGAAAAGAAATATTACACGAGGTCCAGATCACCTTCAGGGTTTAAATTATCGGCAGAAACATTTGACTTTGATCTGGGAATGAGGCAAACTGAGAATATAGTTTTAACTCCCCATTTTGATCTTCTATTCATGGCTATATGCCATCAACTGTTGAGCCTGTTCATACAAAGTATCTAATTTTACATATTAAACACCTTTGTATACGAGCTGTTATCCAAGCCCTTAGTGCAGTTTATTTAGTTCATGTTTAATACATTAAGCCATTGAAAAAAAATATATTAAAATGCATTATTTCTAATTATAATCTGGTATATTCTTCAGTGTGGTTGCTTTTAACCCTTTGGATAGAGTTGTTTCCCTCATACTGGTGGCCTTTTTGCCCCAGTCTCGTTTCTTAATTTAAAGAAGGCAAACCATGACTACGGCTACGTCTAGACTACATGCCTCTGGCGACAGAGGCATGTAGATTAGGCTACCAGGCATAGGAAAATGAAGTGGCGATTTAAATAATCGCCGCTTCATTTAAATTTACATGGCTGCTGCGCTGAGCCAATCAGCTGTTTGTCGGCTCAGCGCAGTAGTCTGGACGCGCGGGTGTCGACATCAAAGGAATTTCTCGACCACCCACGTATGCCTCCTGGAATGAGGAGCCATGTAAATTTAAATGAAGCGGCGATTATTTAAATCGCCGCTTCATTTTCCTATGCCTGGTAGCCTCATCTACATGCCTCTGTCGCCAGAAGCATGTAGTCTAGACGTAGCCATACAAGTCTTAGTGCCTCTAGAGTGGTTCTCTCAGTTTTATGGTATTCGTTTCATAACTTCTTCCAGTAAAACAAACCCATCTACCGTATGTCTCAAAGAGATTAATTGCATTTATTGTAGGCCTTGACCCTGCTGGTCCTTTGTTTGAAGGAATGTCACCCACAGACCGTTTATCTCCAGATGATGCCAACTTTGTAGATGCAATTCATACATTTACTCAACAGCACATGGGGCTCAGCGTGGGGATCAAGCAGCCGGTGGCACATTTTGACTTTTATCCCAATGGAGGCACCTTTCAACCTGGCTGCCACATCATGCATGTGTATAATCACATTGCACAGTATGGAATCACTGGTAAGTGCTTTCTGTCATACCAGGGAAGCAGTGCAGTTTGACTGACCAACTTTAAATGTCTGCATGCAATTCAATAGCCTAAAGTATCACCTGATAGAAACAACATGCTGTAAAGGAAAGAGCTTTTCTTACCTAGAAACTGATTACTTGATTTTTAACATTCTCTCAGCATCCACAGTTTGCATTGACTTGAGTGAGAGCTATGGGCACTTAGCACCTCTGAAAAGTAGGATACAAGCATTCTACTATCCACTATTTTGGATAATGCCAAGGACACTTATTTTGGGTACTAAGGAAGGAGGAGAGTTTACCCTAATTAAGCCAGTCACATTTACAGTGCAATTAGTTATTTAAAAATCAAATGAAATAGTGCGGTACTATTTACCTCCCTGAATAATCTCCCCCCACTTCCATGACCCTTGGATACCACCTTGTAAAGTGGACAAACGCTCTCGCTAGGACCTTATTGCCAATTGCACAAGTAATACTCTAAGGTTATTTTAATATATATATATATAAGCTCTTGTCCTAGTGTTGTTCAATGTAAATGCAGAGAGAGACACCCTCCGAGCAGTTCATTACTGCTGCCATATGCTGCTGGGAGACAAGGCACTTGAGCAGAGTAACAATTAGAATGATTTGCTGAACCTCCAGAACTAGGTAGAGTTTTTTCCCAGCATGCTGCATTCCAAACAGTGTTCAGCTGTTCTCACAACAGTAAGAAATAAAGCTAGTAGGTGAGTCAAGAAGAGTGGGGATGTGTTTCTATAGTCTATCGTAGTATATATTAGTCACAGAAAGGAAAATAAGATCTAAAACTGTAATAGCGAAGGGAAAAGACTATTCCAGATTGCCATCAACAGCCTTCAAATTAAAAGTAATATGAAGAATAAGTTCCCTACTGCCAGACTTGTTTCTCAACAATTCACTGTAACAGAAATGCATGCATGTTGTTCTTGCTGAACCACAATTGCAAACATGATTGATCAGGAGGGCTTGTCACTTGAATAGGTGAATGATACTGCAGGAGTGGCCAAAGTACAGCACAACATTCTGCAATACAACCCACAGTGGCTGTCATCTTTAATATAAAGTCTGAAAAGACTACAGATCCCAGTATGCTGTGTTCCATATGGGACAGCCAAGACCATCAGATCCTGGGGCATTGCATTCTGGTACCTGTTGTCTGAACAATTTAAATTAAAGAAGAGGATGGGTACAATCTGCTCCATTTTGTACACATTAGTTCCCGATATATTTGCCAGCTCAGCCAGACAATGTTCAGATGCTCCTAGACAGAATTTAAAAAATGTATGTGTGTCTCTGTGGGGATTGTCTGATCGAATGCAGCAGTAAATATGATGTGTTGGGAAGGATCAATGAGATTTACATGGCAACTTCCTACACTGCTTTGTCGCTTGCATCAGGAATGGGGGCATGGAAATGTAAAATGGTTTTGCTATTATGCTTTCCAGGAATCACTCAGACAGTGAAATGTGCACATGAGAGGTCGGTTCATCTGTTCATTGACTCTCTACTGCATGATGACAAGCAAAGCATGGCCTACTGGTGCAACGACATCCACACCTTTGACAGAGGAATGTGCCTCAGTTGTAGGAAGAATCGGTGCAACACCCTAGGCTACAATATCAGAAAGGAAAGGCTCCAAAAAAGCAGGCGGCTCTTTTTGAAGACACGAGCACATATGCCTTTCAAAGGTTAGTAGGGCCACTTGCCAAAGAGACCACCTTGCAGTGAGAGAATTAACTAGTTTTTCTTATCTTATTAATGCATTTGCCTAAGTAATAAACTCAATAGCTAAAATCGGTTTGTCCAGATAGTCGTGAATCCTAGCAGGCTTTTCCTCTCTTAGTATTTTAGTGGGAAGAAAGAGCATGTTGCATGCTTACCACACAGTAACTGTGGATACATGGCTTCTAAGCTGCTCAGGTCTGCAGAGTTCTCTTATAGCTAATTCAAACTGAACAACTGGCATAATACATGCAGGCTTCCAGCCAAGCCAAAAAATCATAATTGCTAAGGAAGGCTTGTAAGACCTCCGATTCTAACTGAAGTACAAATTTTATCTGTAATTAGTCTATAGCAGACATACAAATGATTACTTTTCAAACAGAAGACAGAACAGAACAGTGGGTTTTCATAGGGCGGAATTGTGGAACTAAAATGAAGCTACTGGAATGCTAGTGTTATCTTCATTAAATCACTTTGTCAGGAGCATAGTATAACAGAGTATAGCATAGTATAACTATTTGAACTGAGAGAGAAAACACATACAGAATTACACCAATTACTATTGGTGGGGATGGAAATAGGTCTAATAGAGAATAGGTCTGGAATAGGGGCCATTCTGCACTATACAAATTGTCTAAGGACCTGGTTACTATACTAATTACCACATGGGTTCAGCTTTGTTATTGAAACCTCCAAGGGAACAGGTGTCAGGGATTCAAAGCCACCATACCCCTTCCATATAGCTATCAATAAGGGAGGTCCTGGAATAGAAGAGATTAAGAACCACTGAGTTACACCACAGTGAAAACTCAGTCCCATCCTTCATTGTAGCTGGGCCTGTGGACCCCATGTTCCCAACCAATGCTTCAACTTGGATAATCCAAGACATTAGCATGATTTGGAAACAGTAAGGTCCCAGCTATGCTGCAAGACAGAACCAGTTTTGGTTTAACCATGTCTAAGCACTATTGTGCTGTATCCACGTCCATGGACATGAATGCTCTTACAGTGTAGACAAGCATTGGGTGGGAGTTTGCAACAGTAAACAACACGACCTTTTTCATTACCCGAAGGTCTTTAGTGACACGCAATTACCTCTGGAAATCAGGACTGAGTCCTCCAGCCCAGGTCATTTCCTACAAATACTTCCAAACAGCAGTTAAGATGACAGGTTTCAGAGGCAGGTGTGTTAGTCTGTTTCCAGAAAAACAACAGCAGATGGTAGACACACACCATCCCATTTCGGAAACCTACAGCTGTGAGGCAGTCAGAGGAAGAGAGGGGAAGGGAAGGCAGAGGCTGGCATTTTGGAGAGGGTGTCAGAGGAGGAGCCAGGACAAGGGTGACCTAAGGATTTATGGTGCCCTACACAGTCCTGTTAAACTGGTGTCACTATGCCTGAATGAGGGGGAATGAAGGTTTTTTAGATATGTGATTTTATAATCTTCAGCGATACACTAATGAAATGTTTTTAAAACAAATTTTAACCTGAGATCCTTTAGATTAACCCAGTAAATTCAGAAACTGACAGCATATATTTGGGGTGGACAAATACTTTTTAAATGGCTTCATTACCATTTGAATGGCTCTTTCACAGGTTTGATGTTCTGCTAATAAGTCTGACAAGCTTTTTAATTTTTAAGTTAATTAGAACCTCTCCGGAGGAAGAAGAGCCACAAAAACAGGGTCAGAAAGAGACTGGTAGGTGGACATTAAGATCCAGTGGGTGTCCTAAATATTTGTGTGCCCTATACAACCGCATATTCTGCATATGAGTAAGGACAGCTCTAAGCCAAGAACCAGCTCTTCCCCCTTCTCCTGCTGCTGGCTCCAACCTCTCAGGAACTAAAAAGAAAGAAGGAGAACACCTGACATTTTCTGAATTTCCCATTTTGTTTTTAATTCAGTGGCAAACTGGCCCAGAGTGCATCACTCACCACTGGACAGGTGCCTCTTCCTTGTCGTTCTGGGGTTAGCTCGAGGCCAATGCCCTCATCTCTGGTCTGCACCCAGTCACTCTCCACAGTCCACCTGCATCCCCTCTCACAGAGTCAGGAACCACAACATCCTCTTTGTCGCTCAGTTATCTAACCATGTAACTGCCAGTGTTCCTCACTTCAGAGGAGTTTAGTTCCTAGTCCAGCCAACCCTCACAGGTGACTGCAGTCAATTGTCCTTCCACTTCCCCAGTAGCAAGGGGAGGAACCTAACCCTTGCTCACTACTCTTGGTCCCAGCTCAGGGACCCTCCAAATTGCAATCGCTTACTGCATTCCTTTGCCTCTACTATTGCTAGTTCATTACCTTTCCCTTGGCCACTTCCTCATGGCCACAATATCCTCCTCAGTCTCAGCAGCCCATCTGGAGTTCCTTTTCTCCTCCCCAGGTTCCTGCCTGAATTGTTCTGTGCAAGATGCTACAGGGTTACAACCTTCTGCAGACACAGTGCTCTCTCCTCAAGCTCCAGGCAGCTATGACTCTGCTCTGCCCCCCCTAAGGCTCTTTTTTTATATGGGCCTGCTAGGCCTTCATTGGCTGCTCCTCACAGCTCCTCTCCTATTGGTTGCTTTTTGCTTCCACCTCTGGAGGGCTCTATTAACCCTTTACTGGCCAGTATAGGGCAGATGAAATTTTAAAATTTTAGGAGTCCCTAAGCAATCAACTCTTCATTTGTTCTTCAAAGCAAAAAATTATTTTGGCTCAGCATAAGATCATCTTCAGGATCCAGGCATAAACACTGCTTCTTCAGAATGGAATCTATCAACAAATGTGTCTTGGCAAAAGAAATGATCATTGGTATTTCTTTCCTACTGGTATCCAAAATGCTTTTATTACCCTAAACCTAAACTCTGTTGTTTCTAATTACTTGAATTTCACTTTTAGAGACCATGTTGCATTTCAGTTCCTGGAACTGTTCTTGATGTTTAAAAAAAAAAGCCATTCATGGGCTTTGGGATAGCAAAAGGTCAATGCTTAACAAGAGTTTTCTTTCATAGAAGCTGCAAAACAGTCCAACAACTGTAAGAATTTGTGTCAAGTGATCTTGAAATAGTTTCCCAAGAATGCTGTAAAAATCATGTGAAAAATTCAGACAGAAAATAATTAAGAAGCTCACTTTTATACTTCCTCAAAATCTGAGTTTCTTTATGAAAGAGGGCATTCTATTTTTCAAATTAATAAGAGTATGTGCTAGGATGAAAGCAAATCTGGTTTCATTAAAAAAAAAAAGATAGCAGTTGTAAGAAGGTAAATGTTTATGCCGTTCATTCTGAATGATTATTCATGAATGTATGCAAAGTGGTCACTCACCTACCACGAAACTGCAGCTATTCTGTGCAGGTGACTACATAGCAGTTTTAGGGAGGGTGAGTGAATACCTTTCCACACTGTAACTATCAGGAAATATTGGGTAATAGTATGTAATTACCTGATCTGTCATTTGACCAGGAAAGCAGGATAAACACCTCTAATTCTTGCTAAATGAATGCCCCAAATTAGCCATAACCTCCGTTACAGGTTTTATCCAGCAGATGGTAAGAAAAAAACAACCTTTCATTCTGTGGGGGCGGTGAAAAGGTTTTTGCTTTTAGCTTCTGCAGAAATATATTAGTATTTAACAACATGAATCTCCTTCCCAAGTCTCTGAGATCAGTGCAGACTTAGCTTTAATTTTAAATGATTATGAGTATAGCATTTGCTAACCCAGAGTTGTAAGAGGTGCAGCCTGATCAATGTGATCTGATAGACAATGTCAGCAGGTTAAAACCTATTTTAAAATGATAGATTTTGTGGTTCGTGGATGGATGGGTTTAGATATGTAGCCAAACCAAGCAAGGGGTCTATTCTGTCCAACTCCAGCCGTTACGTGCTGCTCGAAGCAGCATACAGAGGCACACAGAAATGGCTAAGTTCCAGGGAAAATTCCCCTGGGTGCACAGACTGCCATAAGCAAACCTATACTGTCCCTTTCCAAGCCCCAGCGTGGAAGGGTGGGGCTGGTGAAAGAAGGAGTGTGCCCAGAGGGCTCAGTGTTATGGGGGATACCAACAAGGATATTTTACTCATCTGTGTTGTTTCTTAATGTAAAGCCAATTGATGTGTTGGGGACAGAGTCATCTTGTCCAGAAATTCTCTGATAGAGGGTACTCTATGAATGCTTTCATCAGCTTTTAATGACTTTTCTACAGTAAATGAAATTACTTCAATTACCATGACTTCTGAACAGGTAGAGGACAGACAAATTTGGGCATTCAAAGCTGTAGGACGAAATTTGTGCACAGTCAGACAATGATTTTCTGCAATTTGCTGCATTGGAAAACTGCACATGACATCCCAGCCACCCTGTTTCGCAACAGCATCACTTTTTTCAGTTCAAAGACTTTCCCAAACCCTCTTCTCCTAGAACCCATCAAACCTCAAAGCAGTAATGACATATTTCTTATTGCAATGTGTTGAACAAAGTCATATTGTGAACAGATGCGTGTTAAGCATAATGTATAATTATGCCATCAAGAACAGTCATCTGTTTTGCCGGGAGACTTTCCAGAAGATCACAGGGAGGAAGGATGACATCCAGAAGAGATCTCTCAGTCCATATGAATATTCCTCTGTCCTTCTTAGCCCATGATTTCTGTTTATATAAATATACAGAATCTAGGGAAGTCAGACCAGGAACTGCCTGCTTACTCTGTGTAAGACACATCAGAAATTCTCAGAATTAAATCTTACAAAATCTGAAAGATTTCTCACAGAAAACTCCCTTCTGATGCATCTCCCTACATCAGTCCTTATAAAGATAGCAGTGGGGACCCAAAAACCTGCTGACTAATGCTGTTTGGCATTTGGCAATTGAGCTTTTAAAAATTAATGAAATAAATAAAAGAGAAATGATTTTCAAGTGTCTGCTTTGAAACGCAAATTTCTGCTACTGCCTATACAACCGTGACTCACTTTGCAATTTCTTCTTCTATGCAGTTTACCATTATCAATTCAAGATACACTTCATCAATGAAATTCACGAGAAGCAGGTAGAACCAACTTTTACTGTCTCTCTGACAGGCACTAAAGAAGATGCTGAAAATCTCCCTATCACACTGTGAGTACTAGACACAAAGTCCCTGTTTTATTGGTGGTGAAAAACAATGTGACATTTTCTAAAACAGGCTCACTTACATAATAAATATGCATAATTTGTTCTGAAGGGCCTGGCTTAGTACAGCTTTTAATAGCGATGAACTGGAAATCATTCAAGTAAACCTTTTAAAATGTTCATGCAAGTCCAGATATGAAAAGTCACAATAAAATGAACTAGACAGTCATGGAAGCTTTCCTGAACATTGAATACAGCATCCTGCCCTGCCCTGCCCAGCCCAGGGTGACTAGTTGAGGAACACTGGGTCTATTTTGGACAGAGTTAAAAGTAAATCACATTAGAGTGTGGAGGTTCATCCTCATGGTTGACTATTGTCATGAGTCTGGACAACATACAAAGAGACAGTATGGTATCGTTACATGGTGACAGCATACAGGAGGGAGGAAAGAACAGAGATAAGAAAAGACTGTATCCTCTCCCACCAGCCCCGTGGCCAGCTAACCTCAGCAGGGGCGGATATAGGGCAGGGCGAATGGGGCGGCCGCCCCGGGCCCCGCACTTCAGAAAGCCCCGCGCATGCGCCATGGCAAAGGGGAGGCCCCGCGGAATTATGCTGCCCAGGGCCCCGCAAAACAGTCATCTGCCCCTGAACCTCAGAGATAGTGTGTTGGCATGTGGAATGAGGTGAAGGACATATCACTAGTCCTCCCCACTTTCATTACCATACTTCATTTACCCTTGACCATTACAGAGAATCTGGATTGATGTAAAAGCATATAGGAACTGGGAGGTCCTTTCTGGAAAAAAATGTTGAAACATCTGATATAATTCCCTGAAATTTAGACAAGTGTAGGGACATTTCTAAAAAGAGATTTTCTGCAAGACCTAGGTATTCTGTAGTTGCTGCTTATCCATCCAGAGGGAGAAAGCTGCTGCCTGTGGGTAGTTTTGCAGAAATGTAGGTGGTGCCCGGAAGGCCCAGAGCCAGCACCCTACCCCTACTGAAACTCCCTCCCCTTCACCTGCCTACGGCTCTGGGAGGGTTTTTTGGTGGGGCAGAGGGTCTGGAATGGAGTCTGCATGCTGGGTGCAGGGTGGTGCAGATTTTGGGAGGGAATTAGGATGTAGGCTCTGGAATGGAGTTTAGGGGCTGAAGGGGTGTGGGAGTGGAAAAGTGGTGAGCGAGAGAGAGTGAGGAAAAGGGATGGGGTGTGAGGGGAGCGTGTGGAGGGCGCCATGCTCACCTGGGGCACTCCCTCTGGCAGTGGCTCCTGGGGAGGACAGTGGTCTTTGTATGCTGATGCCTGACTGCCACCCCTGAATGCTCCCCCAGGTGAACACCTCAGCCTCATCTGCCAGTACCATGAGCTTCCCTCCCCTTCCTGCATGCGTCCCTCAGCCTGTCTGCTGCCCTTGCTTGATTTAAATCCACTGCCACCACCAGCAAGTGCAGCAGGGTGAGAGCAGCTTTCTTCCTGCTCGTTGTACACAGCTGTAGCACATCCCTGTGGCCCTGGCAGGAGGGGGAGCAGGGGATCTGTGTGTGCTGATCCCAATGAGGAGTCCAGGGGAGCCGTGCATGGAGACACCCCCGGGGCCGCAGGGATGTGCTGGCAGCCATGCAGCGGAAGCAGGCAGGAAGCAGCTCTAGCCCTGCTGCACTGTCTGTGGTAGCAGCAAGGGGCCCCCATGTGGTTTTAAATCACCTGGGTGTAGCAAGCAGGGCTAGAGGAGAGACCCAGCCCTGAACTTTGGTGATGCTGGGCCTCAAGCCAGGAATATTCCTGGTGCCCAGGCATCACGGGTCCAAACTCACCTCCTCTGTCCCTGTAGTGACGAAGAGGCACAGAGGGACTTGGTTTGGGGAAATCTTGTCTTTTCCTGTCAGGAGTTGCTCCTACTGCTACGCCACAAATAGGCCAAGCTCCTCCCAGTTCAATGTCCCCTATTTAACGAGTCCTCACACTTCTCCCTCCATGAAAGAGTGGAATCCCTGAAGACACTGTGCACTGCAGAGAGAAGGGGAATTCTTCTGATGTTGTCAATGAAGGGCAGTTTTCCCCACCCACTTCAATCCCTACCCATATGGATAGGGGCTAAAAACATTAAGTCTGCCAAGTAAGGTCTGTGAGGCAGAGACTGGCTTTTGGTTCTGTGTTTGTACAGTACCTAACACACTGGGGTCTGGGTCTATAACAGGGGCTGCTAGGGACTACTGCTACACAAAGAATAAATAGTGCACCGCTGCTGAAGAATCTCACAAGATCATTTACAGTAAAACATGCAGGAAAATTTTTTTTTAAAAATTCTGATGTTGTTTAGAATCTAGTGTTGTCTACTGTACTTCACTGGGAAACCATAGATAGACCTATAATCCAGAAACTGTCATTCACAGATAGCACATTTCATTGTCCAGATCACTTTTGGTATTTTGATTTGACAGTGTTGAAGGCATTACAGGAAATAAAACCTATACTTTTCTCATTACTCTGGATATCGACATTGGTGAGCTAATGATGATCAAATTCAAATGGGAAGGAACTGCAGTTTGGGCAAATATCTGGGACACTGTTCAGACGATTATTCCTTGGACAAAGGGCAACCGTCAACCAGGACTTATCGTGAAGACAATAAGAGTCAAAGCTGGAGAAACACAGGAAAAGTATGTGTTACGGGAATCAGTCTGTGGAGTAATTAAGAAGCAGTGTGGGTATTGATCTTGAAGGGTCAGAGCAGAGGTGAAAGTAAACTGATATGGCAAGAAATTAATAGCTGGTATGGCGTCTCAGAAAGACACCACACCTACCGTGCAACCTGATCCCCTTCCCCCTTCCAGGTTTCAAGTCCCCTTCCCCCCTCCAGGTTTCAAGCACCCCCATCACCCCAGTTAAATGACAAGGAAAGTGTTCAACAAAATGTTTATTGTACATAGTTTGGCATGAAACTAGATTTTCTACATCAAAAATGAACAAAAGCTTTTTTATGTTTGCAACAGTTATACTATTTTCCAGTGAGTGATATTTAAAAAAATAAAACAGAACTTATTATTTTGAGACAAATCCTGGTGTTTATTATTTCTCCAAACAGGGTCAGGAGATGGGTTGTGGAGGGAAGCTTCTTTTAGGCCAGGGCCCAGTCCCCAGGCAGAAGCCCCTCAGTAGAGTCAGTGGCCTCCAGTTGAGAAATGCAAACAGCAGATCGGTGAGCCTGGCGGATGGCAGCTGTCCGGGGCTGGGCAAAGTGCCTCTCCTGACCATCAGCACCTGTACCCCACCCTGGTAGGAAGGCCTCCCCTTTCCTCTCCACCAGGTTATGGAGAACACAACACGCGGCCACCACCTCAGGGATGTTGC